TTATCACTGGAAAGAAGCTTTGCCAACGAAAATCGGCCAAAAAATTGAGTAGATCTATACTTGCAAAACCAGAGCTCTTTTTCTCTGATGGATGTATTGAGCCGCATATGTTTTGTTGAACCCTAGTGTGTGTATATATTAGATAGACAAGAGGGTAAATTAGACTTTTTAAATTCCGGACCGGAGTAGCTTTACTCTTCCTTGGGCCGACGCAACTATCTCTTCTTGAGACGGAGTAATCTCACCTCCTTGGGCCGGAGCATCCATTACGGCCTTTTTACTTAGTCCTTTGCGTTTTGGGCCCCAAAGCCCAACTCGAAGCTCGGCCCAATTTTTCCCAAAAATTACCCTCTCACATAGTATATTATATCCTCTCTAAATTTTTTTTTGCAAACATAGAATATATAGGAGTCTTTTGGCAACAAGTTAAAAAAATCAGTTTTTTAAACCAAAAAGTCGCCAAAAAAGCCAAAAAGCTAAAAAAATCAATTTTTTACCAACTTTTCAAAACACCCCATAATATCCAATCCCATCATTTATGTCTTGAAATCAAACAAAGACTTTTTTATCCCAAGTTAAAAAAAGTCAAAAAATCAACCTACATCCCAAACAAACCTAAATTTTTTATTTCTTCAATTCCCCAGCCCCCTTTATCTACATTCAGTTTTTTCCCCCATGTGACAATTACAATCATATTTTATTTCTGCTCATACATCACGATATATATAAAGCTTTAATTTTTGGTTGATTTTTAGTCACTAACGCTATATTTGATTGAGAAATTTGAGAAGGGATTTAAAAAGGAAAAGTGAAAGGGTGTGTGAAATTAGGTAAAATATAAGTATATTTTTTCACATTTCACATACCTTTTTACATTTCTCTTTTCAAATCCCTCCTCAAATCTCTCAACCAAACACAACATAAATCAATTTGGTTTCTTCTTTAATTTTTGGACTCAAAACTGAACAGGACCGATGCTAAAATCAAATCAACTTAACCCATAAAAAGCAAGAACGGTTCAATTGACAAAGAAAAATGCTTGGGAGCACTAATTAGTGCTCCCACTAATTAGGTGGCAGTGGATCCCGTCATTAATGATGTGATGTTTTGGTCTTGGAGTTGTTTTTTTTTTTTTTTTTACTTTTTTAATGCATTAGTGCTATTAGTGGTGGTGTTTTTAGTGGGATGAATCATTGTTGATTAACAAATTACTCAAATCTTTTTTATTTTTTCTTAGAGAAGATTTGCACAAATCACTAATATTATTAGTTCAATAATCAGAATCTATGTATCATTGTGATTACATAATTACTTGCCAAGTAATTCACAAAATAATAACTATTAATAATTGCTGCTTTAAATTTCTATGTTACCACAATTAAAGAAATAAAATTTTTACTTTATTTATTTATATATTACACAAATATTTATATATAACATAAGTAGGAAACGCTAATATGATGCCTAAGTAGAAAAAGTGAATAATCACACGGGACACTTGCTTTGCATGGTTATGGTCTATGCTCCATACAATTAAGCGTTATCCTCGTCAAAGTACTTTAGGCTGAATTTGGTTTTGATGAAAATGAAAGAAAGTGAAAGAAATGGAAAAAAATAAAAAATAAAAAATAAAAAATAAAAAATAAAGTTTTGTTTAGCTCGAAAGTGGTAGAAGTTATGTGATTTTTTTTTTTTTTTTACCTGATTACGTAAAAAATCAAACTCTTCATAGATTATTTGTTTTTGTTTTTTATTTTTTATGTGAAGAGTTTGATTCAATCAAATCCCTAGATTTTTACATATAAAACAAACAAATTTTTATTGTCTTGTATAAATGAACACTATCAAACACAGATCATAGATGTACAACAAAATTAACTAAAAAAATAAAATTCATAATTACTCTCCTATACAATAATAAAATTATCTAAATTATTAATTAAAATATATTTTTAACATCATTAAAAACTATTACTTGACTTGATAATTTATTAATAAAATGGGCGATTTGTTATGAAATTAGAAACCTTGGAGAGTGGAATGTAATTTTCAAAACTACACGGGCGATTCGTATTCAAACCTCATGGGGTATATAAAAAAAAAATACAACACATAGATATATGAAATATAATGCACATTAAAATAAATAAATAAATATTTAAAACATAAAATATTTATCCTAAAAAAATAAATTCAAAAAATTTCAAAATTTATAACCAAACAAATTTTTTCTTTTCAAAACTTATAACTCAAAATATGACTCCAAACTCAAATCATGATTCTAAAAATAATTTTAAAATAAAATAAATTTTTTTGAAAAAAAAATTCTTTTAAAATAGAATTTTTGAAAAAGTTTAGTTTTGAGTTTTGAAAAGAATTTTGAATTTTGAAAAGAGTTTTAAGTTTGTGCTTGGTTATGAGTTTTGAAAATATTTTTTAAATTGAGTGTTGTGTAAAAACATGTTCCAAAAAAAAAAAAAAAATTTTAGAAACATGTTTGGTTGTCTTTTAGAATCACAATTTCAATTAAAAAATTTCAAAAATCTTTTCAAAACTCGAGTTTTAACTAAATACACAACTCAAAACTTAATTCAAAAATTATTTTCAAAACTCATAACGAAACACAAACTTAAAAAAATACAAACTTATATTAAATATATTTTTTAAATATTAAAAAAATTTAAAATTTTAATTATATTTTTAAATATATAATTTTTATTTTAAATATTTTATTTTATTTTATAAATATATTTTTAAATATTTTAATTTTTTTGTTATGCGTTTGGTTACGATTTGAGTGTAGAGTTTTGAAAGTAGTGTAGAGTTTTGAGTTATGTGGTTGGTTATGAGGTTTGAAAATAATTTGAATTGAGTTTTAAGTTTAAAATATTAAAATTAAAAAATTAAAATATTTACAAAATAAATAAAATATTTAAATAAAAATTGTATATTTAAAATAAAATAATAATTTTTTTAAAAACATTTTTTAATATTTAAAAAAAATAAATCCAAAAATACTGTTTCAAACACTGTTTATTTCTTCCAAACCTATCCTCCAATTCAAAAATATTTTTTAATATTTTAAAAGGAAGGGCAATAAGGTAATTTCTTATGAAAAAAGTAACACCGTTTGGTGATTTTTGACAGCAGAGGGAATCTTGATATTGTCAAGTAAAGAAAGGAAGGTTACTGTAATTATTCAAACCACAAGGAAAGTCCTATATTTGTCAGAAATCTCAAGAGAGATAAATGTGATTTGCTCATATTTTAATTTCACTTTATATTTTAAATAAAAAATTTAAAAAAATATTAAAATAATCACTTTTCAAAGAAACCTCTAATTATGATTTTAATACAATTTTATTATGTCACATCATGAATTAAAAGAGCTGTGCTACATATACATTATTGATTTACATATTTAATCAGAGAATAGACAAGAGGGAAGGGCCCACCGATGTCTGAGATTCGTATGCCACCTTATGTGTCTATTCTGCAATAAGTTTTGGAAATCATTTTGTAAACAATGACCATTTTTAGTTTAATAATTTTGAAAAATAATTTTTTAAAAAGAGATTATAAAATTTAAAAATTTATTTGACTACATATTTTGAGAATAATTTTAGAGTTTTGAATGATTTAATTTTTTTTATACATTGAATAAATGAGTATAAAAAAAAATGATTGATTAATGAGTAAGATAAGAGAAAAAGAGAGGAAAAGGAGAGAGAGAAAAAAAAATTGATTGATGTGTGGTAAATAGAAAAGTGATTTTGAAACTTTTTTTTCAAAATTTTTTAATTAAAAAAATTTTTGAGATTTTTTTTCAAAAATTGTTTGGTTTGTGTTTGTAGAGTAGTTTTTGAGATAAAAAGTACGAAAACTTGTTTTGTTTGCTTTTTTTCAGAAATAGTTTTGAAAAATTATTTTGGGGAGAGAGTTTTAAAAAAAGTGATTGATTTGATGTGTACGAGAGAGAGTGTGATTTTGGAAAGTAGGTAACCAAACAAAATTTTGATTTTTTTTAAAAAAAATTTATTTGGTTTGATTACTCTTAAAAATTTGTTTGTAGAAAATTTTTCCCAAAAATTTTTCTGAAAAACAAACCAAACAAGCCCATCTCTAGCTGCAAACCAAACAAGGTCAACATTTTTACTAAAAAAAAACAAAATAATTCAAATTTATTCAAACAAATTTTTAAGATTTTTTCTCAAAAATTATTTCTCTAGATACAAACCAAGCAAGGTCAATATTTTCGCTAAAAAAATAATTCAAATTTATTGAAAAAACCTTACAAAAATTAATTTTAAAAATCGTTTAATTGAGATGAATTAAAAAATAAATAAATTTCACCTAATTTATAATATAGAAAAACACGGAAACAAAAACAGTAAAAAAAAAAAGAAAAAGGAAGTTTAAAAAAAATTACGTATTCATAAAAAAAAATTTTATGATTTTAATTATAAATATTTATAAAATTTAACATGAATTTGTGCCTCCGTTTGGGAAGTGGGTTGGCTTTTTGGCTTTTTGGCTTTTTTGGCTATTTTAGCCTGGGCTAAAAAGCTTGGTTTGGGAAGGGCTTTTTGGCTTTTTGACTTTTTGGCTTTTTTTTGTGAGAGAAGAGTGTAATGATTATGGGTTGGATGTGATGTTTTGTTTGTTGTGGCTAAAATAGCCTGTTTTATCTTTTGTGGCTATTTTAGCCCCAACCCACTTGCCAAACACCACCACGTAACTAATTTTTTAAAATACCACCGATTTAATATTTTTTTTAAAAAAAACTAAAATTAATATTCTTATTTATTTATATTTATTTTCAAACTTAGCAGTTCAATTTTTTTCTCTCTCTCTCTCTCTCCGCTTTCAGTCATCAGCTGCGTAAAGAATTCTCTCTCTACCAGAGTTACATATATATATATAATCACCAAGGAGAGACGTTTGCACAATCTCAAACTCATCTAAGCTTTTTTGTTTTCTGTATATGTAAAGGTTTTTTTATTTTCTCTCTCTCTCTCTCTCCGCTTTCAGTCATCAGCTGCGTAAAGAATTCTCTCTCTACCAGAGTTACATATATATATATAATCACCAAGGAGAGACGTTTGCACAATCTCAAACTCATCTAAGCTTTTTTGTTTTCTGTATATGTAAAGGTTTGCTTTTTATATCCACATCTCAATCTTCCGTACTGTTTATATATATATATATACACAAATCGTCTTACTGTTTTTGGAATCGAAGTATTCGGAGATTCAACCTCGACAATTACCAGATCTATCAAATCATAATAACCATTCAATTTGATCCGAACCCTCGAAGATTCGTTGAATTTCTCATTGAATCACTGCATGTTCTCTTACTTATCATTCAATTTGTGAATTTGGAATAGTTGAATTTCAGATTGGGGGTGGTTTTGTATGTCAAGATCTTTGTTTTTCTTCATGTTTGTATAATTTTTATTTAAATTTAGGTTTTATGAATATTGGGTTTGGTTATTGGAGCAAAATTCAGTGGATTATTGTTGTGATAGCTGCATAATTTTGTTGGGTTTTCAATTGGTTTGGTTCTGAGTTGGGTTGATATTACCTGTTGAAAAAGGATTTGGAGCGTAGATCCTGTAATTTTAATATACTATTATTTACAATTTAAAATTGCATACTTTATAATGGAGTTTGGGTAGTTAAATAATGGATACTATGAGATTGTTTTGGGCTGAGGTGAGGTACTGTTTTTTTTCATGCCGGCTTGCAATATACAAATCTTGTTGTATGAAGAACATAAGCTAAATATAAGATTTCGCCACCTAAGTGTCATTTAAGAATGAAACTTTGTAGGTTTAATGATTGGACTCTACAATCATTTGAATAATCAGAGTATTGGGTTTGGAAAGTCCAAGCTTTATCTCATTTGTTTTGGAAATTTTTGTTGTTGTTGTTGCTGATGAGTTGCCACTGGAAATCAACATCTGGCTGCAGAATCTATTTTTTAATTTTTATTTTTAACTCTCAATTTGACTAGGCTGCCTGCTCGTTGATCATCATATTAGTGCTCAAACTCGAGTGTGTCTTGTGTGTATTTAGTGATTACTTGAGTAGTTGGAGTGCATTTACTAATCAAGTAGGCGCCGCTGATATTGATTTTTTATATAATTATTTCGGAATTTTATCGTAGCTTCCAACATACTGTAGCAATGTGATACTACAATTATACAGATAAAATGAAAATAAAAAAAATTATCATTTGAAATAGTTAAATTGAAATGAGTTTTTGTTCTTAAAGAATTTGAAGCAACAATTTGGATGCAGTTCTTGAGGCTGCACTAGTTTATAAGCTTCTTCATGGTTTTATACTTACTTTGGTAGGGAGGAAGAATTAGAGGAAGGAAACACGGGGAGGGATTCATATGTTTTTTCTTGTTTGTTAGGAAGGAGAAGGAGAAGGAGAAGGGAAGGGAAAGGAAAGGAAAGGAAAGGAAAGGAAGAGGACCTTCCTCCTAGACCCACCATATTTCTTCCTTTCAAAAATGGGATGAAAGGAGGAGGGAAAGTCCTCTTACCAAACCAAACCAAACGAAGCCTTAAGTCCCATCAAATGGGGTCGGCTACATGAATCCTTCTTCTCCACGCGGCCCTTTTTTTCGACAGATATGTCTTAAAAAATAATGTTCATCGTTTACTTCAGGGCATAGTCGTAAAGTTGTCCATCATGCCTTTCTTATATGCTATAGCCATCGGCAGCTTGTATTTCGATGTTTATGCGAAACCTAGATGAGAAGTGATTAAATATTTGTTTCCATTCACTTACGAGGGGAAAAAGGAAAAATGAAATATGGTTTCCAATCTCTTGAAAGTTGGAAAATTGGTTACCTTTCTTGGGCTTTTCTTCAAAATTTTAAGTTGTCATTTATAATTGTTTGTATATCTACATGCATAGGTATACGTTCAGGTTGTAACAGCCATCCTAATTTCATTTCTAAACACAGATATAGGAAACTGCACCAGTCTCTACAATCCTCTACATTTGGGTTTCCTTGACAGTAACAGGAAATGGTCAAAAGGTTATTTCTATTTCATAAATTGTCCTTGTTGGAATGAAATTAGCTACGGAAAAATGTTTTGACATTTTGTTTTGAACAGGTATGGAGTGTTTTGATGTGCAAGCATTACCATGTCGCAGTGCTTAGACAGGGTTAAGCATTTGTGTGCTTCCCTACTTCGCTGCTGTGATCTTGAGTTGTATAGACAATCCAGAGACCTCGAAGATCCTGAATTTCTTGCAAGGGAGACAGTGTGTATGCTACTGGCCCATACCGTCTTGATTTTGTATTTATTTTTTGGAATTTTGGAAATTCATATCGCTGTGATGGTCAACATATTGTCCACCTATACCTATCAAAAGTAAAATTTTCAGAACAAAAAGAAATGATGGTAGTTAGTACACTTGTTGTCTGATTCAACTAGCTTTGTAATGTACTCATGATTCTAATTATTTGTCTTTTTATTTCCTATAATGAAAAAGCAACCAAACTCTGCTCATGAAGATTGTGATTTTCTACTTGGATTGGATGCAGTTAGCGTAAGTGAAATAGAGGCTCTTTATGAACTATTTAAGAAGATTAGCAGTGCAGTAATTGATGACGGTTTAATCAACAAGGTTCGTCTATATCTTTGTGGAAAATTATTGTTGCATTTTTTAACATGTTAAGATGATATGCTATTGTAGTACTGCTCTTAATAACCATGAATTTGATGCTATTCTTTGTATTTTCTTGTGTCAATGTGTTGTTACCTCTCCACAATCTAACTCTTGTTTCTTGAATGCTTTCTTTCTATATAATATTGCAGGAAGAGTTTCAATTGGCGTTATTTAAGACGAACAAAAAAGAGAGCCTGTTTGCTGATCGGGTATTTTATTTTTGACTACTATTATTCTTGTTGCTTTGTTAATGCTCACCTTAACTAGACATTCTCTTAAACTAGTTTTCATGTGTTCTTTTTCTTGCACAGCATTTTTTAGAGCACCATGAATTATGAACTTTTCCATACACAGACTTTGTTAGTGATAAAAAAAAAAAAACATGCATATTATATATGTAGGTATAAGCACAGTCATATACAGATGCATGTTTATTTGTGTGTTTGTGCCTGTTTTAAAAGCTGCAGACTAGGAATATAGAAATATTTGTGTATTTCTATGTTGAAATGTGAATTATGTTGGAATCACTCATCATTATGTTGATATATAGTTTATAGATGCTTCAGAACAAATATGCTAAATCTTCTAAAGCTATTCTCATCCTAATTTTTTAATAATTTCAGGTATTTGACTTGTTTGACACAAAACATAATGGCATCCTAGGCTTTGAAGAATTTGCCCGCGCACTCTCTGTATTTCATCCGAACGCCCCTATCGATGATAAGATTGAGTGTATGCTAGAATACTCTACAATATTGCTATGATGATGGGAATTTTTTGTTGTAGTTCATTTAATCTGAAATTTCTACTTTGCATTTTCATTACACCAATAATTTTGTGTTGCAGTTTCGTTTCAACTGTACGATCTCAAGCAGCAAGGTTTTATTGAGAGGCAAGAGGTAACTACTTGCATTATCATGAACTGTTTTGAGACCTAAATTAATTAAATTTGGACTTTCCATAGGCTGTGATGGCTTCCATTATTTTCACTGGTCTTAATTAATACTCTATGATCACTGAAATCTACTCTATTGTTTTCTTATTTGGTCTAGTGAATTATATGAATTGCTAATAGATACCAATATCTTATCCCATGAAAAATCCATAAACTGTGACTTGACTTGAGAGGCATTGCTGAAAAAAGTTTGCTTTGCTGTTTAAGTTTCAGTAACTTTTTCATGTGCTAAGACACAATGTGTTTTTTTTCCATGGAGCACAATTCACATAGGGACAATACGTTCACAGAAAAATATCAACTAAGGTAAGAAACTATAAACCAAAATATGAACTACCATTGTTGGGTGGGAATATATTCTCAAACGTTCTTCTAAGCTGTATTTCTTTATTACTGGTCTTAATTAATACTCTATGATCACTGAAATCTACTCTATTGTTTTCTTATTTGGTCTAGTGAATTATATGAATTGCTAATAGATACCAATATCTTATCCCATGAAAAATCCATAAACCGTGACTTGACTTGAGAGGCATTGCTGAAAAAAGTTTGCTTTGCTGTTTAAGTTTCAGTAACTTTTCCTTGTGCTAAGACACAATGTGTTTTTTTTCCATGGAGCACAATTCACATAGGGACAATACGTACACAGAAAAATATCAACTAAGGTAAGAAACTATAAAGCCAAAATATGAACTACCATTGTTGGATGGGAATATATTCTCAAATGTTCTTCTAAGCTGTATTTCTTTATTATTGGGTTGGAACCTTAAAAACAATGAAGGAACTGTAGGTTGAATGGATAAAGTGATCGTTGTATTTTTACTAGTTGTTTTGTTGAAAGTTTACTTTGCAACAAAGATTGAATGAAATAGAAAAGGTGTACAAGAGGAAAATAATTCAGAGAAGGCATTAGACCATTATGGACCTAGTGGGTGTCGACTTTTTATGTTGGCCAATAATTTGAGTGACATAGAATAAACATACGTCACTCTCATGTGAGTGATTTTGCGCTAGAGCAATTCTTGTTTGAGCTAAGCCAATGGAAAGGAATTATAGTTCGCTAATATACTTTGGTGTTGGGCATACTATGGCTGAATACTAGATGTTAAGGCATTTGGTTTAATGGTCTTCCTCTTTGTTCCCTTTTCGTAGATTTAGCTTCAATAAGAAAGATGTGACACAGTATAGTTCATGTTATTTGTCTTTAATATCTGTCATATTTTTTCAGTGTTTTAGATTTTTAATCGACTTCTGAAATGTAGGTGAAGCAAATGGTAGTGGCAACTCTTGCAGAATCTGGTATGAACCTTTCAGATGATGTTATAGAGAGCATCATTGACAAGGTGCTCCCTTAACCTGAGTTAATTAAAGTAACATCTATTTTTCATATATATGACTTTAATTAGCTCTAGGCATCCATATCTAATGTAATAGTATGTGCCTTGTTTTCCTCATTCTCATCCTTTTCATTTTTAATTTAATTTAATTTTTTTTATCTTGGTTCTTTTCTCCTACTAGTCATACGGGTTCAAATTTATTTTGTTACGCTCTTTGTACACTCTGTTTCTAAAATCAAGCAGTTAAACTAGGGTGTAATGTTCTATAAGGAGGTAATTTACTTTAAAAGTGCTTTATTCATCTTCTGTCATTCTTTCTTTTTTGTTGTTTTGTTTGTTTGTTTGTTTAACAAAATAATTTTTTTTATCTTGGTTGTTTTCTCCTACTAGTCATACGGGTTCAAATTTATTTTGTTACGCTCTTTGTACACTCTGTTTCTAAAATCAAGCAGTTAAACTAGGGTGTAATTTTCTATAAGGAGGTAATTTACTCTAAAAGTGCTTTATTCATCTTCTGTCATTCTTTCTTTTTTGTTGTTTTGTTTGTTTAACAAAATAATTTTTTTTATCTTGGTTGTTTTCTCCTACTAGTCATACGGGTTCAAATTTATTTTGTTACGCTCTTTGTACACTCTGTTTCTAAAATCAAGCAGTTAAACTAGGGTGTAATGTTCTATAAGGAGATAATTTACTCTAAAAGTGCTTTATTCATCTTCTGTCATTCTTTCTTTTTTGTTGTTTTGTTTGTTTGTTTGGTTCCCTCCCCTCCACATAAAGACAACTAGTAGTTAATAGAAATATTTTCTGCTGCATTTCTCTTGTTAAACCTACTTTTTGAGGATTAAATTGCCAATTGAAGCTCCCATGGTTTTACAACCACCACCTTACATAACCAGATGTGGCATTTTAAGCAACCTACCAATGGCAATATGAATAGTCAAATATGAGTCATGCATAAAATAATGGGTGCTAGTTTCTGATATTTAATTTTGGGAAAATTGCATTTAAGTGGGAACAACTCAAAATTGGGGTAACCACTGGTTCAGTCTGGTGGTTTTTACCTTGGCCTACTAACCTTGAGGTGATGGGTTCAAGTCTGAGGACAACCACTTTGTGCATTTATGCCAAATGTTAGGCATACACCCAATCTAACTACTCCCAAACACCCATTAATGTTTTTGTTTTGTAGGAGACCAAAATGAAACTTTATTGGAATACTGAAATCCCAATCAGTTTTTTGATACCGATTAAGAATATTCTACAATGCTTATTTCTATTTGTTTCTTTCTTTGTTACCGCAAATTTGTTCATAGACCTCAATTATTTAATTATTGAGAATATATTAACATTTATATCGGTTTTTATTTTTGTTTCCAAACAATTTACAAATGTTTTTTCCTCATTTCGCGTAAGTTTCCAAAATGATTCCGTTTTGATCATTGGTTGTGTTTGAAGTTTTAGCATTCATATAAGAGTGTTCTTTATTTGTTCTCAAAGATTCACTTTCTAAAAAAAAAATTGTTGTTTTTTGGGGCATTTTTTCAGACCTTTGAGGAAGCCGATACAAAACATGATGGGAAGATTGACAAGGAAGAGTGGAGAAATCTTGTTCTGCGTCATCCATCCCTTCTAAAGAATATGACCCTTCAATACCTCAAGTAAGCTGCAAATTAATTTCAATTGTCTTTCTCCAATTCTTATTAGTTTGATATCTGTAGATTTTCTTTTTGTGTTAATATGAATACAAACATTGATTCATAGCTAAAAGGTTTTGAGTGTATGTTGTGTGAGCTGATTAGATCTATGAATTATCTTCTTTATATTATAAAGACATGTCCTAAGAGTAGCATAAAGCATGTAATTGATTTCGTAACTTGTCCATTCTATTAGCACACAAGTGAAAACATGTTTTCAAGTTATGTCACACATTTTTTTCATACCTTAATTACCCCTACGCAACTATCCATATTTTTTATTTCAAATTTTGAGTTCTTTAGTTTGTTTTTCCTTTCATCAACATTCAGTTCTTTCTTTCCCACATCAAATAAGTATTTATTTCATGACAGAGGTGTTTGAGTACTAGTCTAAGAAACTAGTCAAGTCGTCCATGGACTTTTTGAGACGTGAAGACATTTGAAATTATTTACATCATAATTTACATCATGTGCTTACATTTGTTTAATTTTCTTTGAACAGGGACATCACCACTACATTCCCGAGCTTTGTATTCCATTCGAGGGTTGAAGATACATGATTCCAGTTCTGCATTTTAGGTTTTGATTTTTTGTTATTATTATTGGTTTAGTTCATAACAATGCAGCTCTTTTGCTTGTGATAGGGACCAAAAGGGAATTGTATTTGTTATTTTCACAAAGATTGCAGGTTGTGTACGTTTATTATTTAGCGGTTGCGTTGGTTTTTTTTATTTTTTTATCAAGCTTTCTGGTTGGGTTGTTTGATTTCAGTGCATAGACATACATGTCTTTTTGAATAAATGTTATTTTTGCTTGAACTTTGCTGAGCCACTGATCTGTTTCTTCATTCTGTTCCATAAAATAAAATTTAAAAAAAAAAGAAAAAAAAAAGAAAAAGAAAAAGAATGGTCCCTCCCATACCAACTACACATATAAGAGAGTTATCTTTTTTAATTGTAAATTAAAAAAAGGCTCAGCTTGGCAAACACCGCTCTACCCGAACGTCCCTGGTTAGGTTGAAAGCCTCACTCCCTCGATGGGAGTTGTTTCCACTGGTTTGCGGGCGTGACTTATCTGTTTCTTTGTTCTGTTCCATAAAATAAAATTTGAAAAAAAAAATAGAAAAGAAAAGGAAAAGAATGGTCTCTCCCATACCAGCTACACATTTAAGAGAGTTATCTTTTTTAATTGTAAATAAAAAAAAAGTTCGGTGCGGCAAAAACCGCTCTACCTGAACGTCCCTGGTCAGGTCGAAAGCCTCACTCCCTCAACGGGAGTTGTTTCCACTGGTTTGCCGAAAGCCATGGGCATGACTGATCTGTTTCTTCATTTTGTTCCATAAAACAAAATTTAAAAAAAAAAAAATGGTCTCTCCCATACCAGCTAGGCATTTAAGACAGTTTTCTTTTTTAATTTAAAAAAAAAAAAAAGCTCGGCTTGGCAAACACCGCTCTAGCCAAACGTCCTAGGTCAGGTTGAAAGCCTCACTCCCTCGATGGGAGTTGTTTCCACTGGTTTGCAGAAAGCCATTGGAGAGTTGGCACCGGGCGTGACTGAACTATTTGCGAGGATGAGAGCTAATAATGAACAGGATAGAAGAACCTTAGATGAGATAACATGTTACAAGGAATTGGAGGCATCTAATTTTGTGCAGTAAGATTGAATTATGAATTTAAATAAAAATTTATGAAGAAAAAAAGAAACACAAAATAAATAGAGAAAAGGAAAATATGAATAAAGTACAAATTAAAAATTTAGCTTAGGAATGAAATAAAAAATTAACTTTTATCCAAAATAAAGATATTTTATTTTTACATTTTCCTCATTTTTTTTTCTTTCAAAGTTTCACCCAAGACAGGTTAAAAAAAGAGACCATAAAACAAACACTGATGGGTTTAAAAACTCCGTTTCAAAACAATTTGCATTTGGGTGAAAAAACCTCAAGTGACTCAAATTCACATAACTCAGAACCCACCAACCCACACACACATCATCTCTAAATTTAACTTGGGGACAAGAAAAGCCTTCTTCCAAATGGGCTTAAAATTCACCTTTGTAGCATCCATAAAAAACTACAACTAAGAAACAGAAACAAAAACAAAAGCCAGAAATATAGCAAAAACAAAAACATCATTTAATAATTGCCAGCTATATAAATCCAGTACCACTACCCATATCGGTAAAGAAAGAGTAGGGCAAAACTAAAAGCCAGAGACACAAATTTAAAAAGAAACTACTATTAAGCCAAGAATCTCAAAAGGGTTTTGTGGTGGTGGTGGGTAGCTTTTCATTTAATCAACTTCCTCCATCTTGCTCCCCTCGGCATCAGCATCAGCTTCCTCCAATGGTGGCATGTCCACATCAGCTTCACCAGCTTCCTCATCGATGCTCAGACCAAGTTTCAACATTCTGTGGATCCGGTTGCCGAAGGTGTTCGGGTCATCAAGGCTGAACCCTGAGGTGAGCAATGCAGTCTCAAAGAGCAAGAGAACCAAATCCTTCACTGACTTGTCGTTCTTGTCTGCATCAGCCCTCTTCCTCAGCTCCTCCATAATGGGATTCTCCGGGTTGATCTCCATGGTCTTCTTGCTCGACATATACCCAGCCATGCTAGAGTCCCTCAAAGCCTGCGCCTTCATGATTCTCTCCATGTTGGCAGTCCATCCATACTCACCGGTCACCAAACAGCAGGGTGAGTCCACGACACGATCAGACACAACAACCTTCTCAACTCTGTCGCCCAAAACATCCTTGACCACCTTGCAAAGACCCTCAAACTTCTCCTTGAGTGCTTCTTTTTTGGCCTTCTCATCTTCAGTCTCGTCAAGTTTCAAACCCTCCTTTGTTGCAGACACCAGCTTCTTCCCTTCAAATTCCTTCAATTGACCCACTGCATACTCATCAATGGCATCAACCATGTAGAGGACCTCAATCCCCTTCTTCTTCAGCTTCTCGAGGAATGGAGAGTTTTCAACAGCCTTCTTGCTCTCACCGGTGATGTAGTAAATGTCACTCTGGCCTTCCTTCATCCTGGTCACATAGTCCTTGAGGCTAGTCATCTCATCTCCACTCTTGGTGGAGTGATATCGAAGAAGTTCAGCAAGTTTGGTCTTGTTTGTGGAATCCTCGTGAATGCCAAGCTTGAGGTTCTTGGAGAAGGCCTCATAGAACTTGTTGTAGTCTTCCTTGTTCTCAGCAATCTCGAAAAAGAGCTCAACGCACTTCTTCACCAAATTCTTGCGAATCACCTTCAGGATTTTGTTTTGCTGCAACATTTCTCTGGAGATGTTGAGTGGAAGGTCCTCAGAATCAACAATACCCTTCACAAAACTGAGGTACTCTGGGATCAACTCCTCACAGTTATCCATGATGAAGACACGGCGAACATAAAGCTTGATGTTGTTAGGCTTCTTCCTTGTGTCAAAGAGATCAAAGGGTGCCCTCTTAGGCACGAAGAGAATAGCCTTGAACTCCAATTGGCCCTCAACTGAGAAGTGCTTCACAGCTAAGTGCTCCTCCCAGTCATTGGTGAGACTCTTGTAGAAAGCAGAATACTCTTCCTTTGTAATCTCCTCAGGCTTCCTCATCCAGATGGGCTTCTGCTTGTTCACCAAAGACCACTCGTGGGACACCTCCTTGATCTTCTTCTTTTTCTTCTCTTCCTTCTCCTTCTCTTCGTCAACATCCTCAACCTTTCCTTCCTCATCTTTCTTCTCTTCCTCATCCTCGTCATCAGAAATTTCCTTCTCTGTAGTCTTCTCAATCCAGAGAGAGATTGGGTAACTAATGAATTCAGAGTGCTTCTTGACCAAGTCCTTGAGACGTCGTTCCTCAAGGTACTCAAGCTGGTCTTCTTTAAGGTACAGGGTCATCTTTGTACCCCTACCAAGACTTTCACCAGTGGTGTCTCTGGTGACAGTGAACGAGCCACCAGCTTGGGATTCCCAAACATATTGCTCATCGTCATTGTGCTTTGAAACCACTATCACCTTCTCAGCAACCAAGTAAGCTGAGTAGAACCCAACACCAAACTGCCCAATCATGCTCACGTCAGCACCGGCAGCAAGAGCTTCCATGAACTCTTTGGTACCAGACCTAGCAATTGTACCAAGATTGTTCACCAAATCTGCAGCCATTAAATTTCAATTTAGAGACAACATAAAAATCCCAACAAACCATACATACATCAAGACTAGACTAGATGATACACAGTTGCAACGCTACATACCGGCCTTGGTCATGCCAATACCACTGTCAATAATGGTCAATGTGTTGTTGGTCTTGTCAGGAATAATGTGGATGAAAAGCTCTGGTTGTGCATCTAGCTTGCTCTTGTCAGTCAAGCTCTCAAATCGAATTTTGTCCAAAGCCTATATAGTACAAAAATTTAATGAGTATAATTAAAATTACAGGACAAACAGTTTCAGAAAACCATAGATACATTTTTAATACATAAGTTCTTTCTGATGCAAATAACTATCTACACAATAAGCAGAGAACAACAATTGATACAAAATAAACAATTCAACACTATACACCAACTTAGCCAAACCACATATAAATTCACCAAATAAACAAGACAAGACAAAGAAGACCAATATATCCAAACCACAATTGAATCTTTTAGACTCGTTCTTATATATCAATTAATTCACCAAATAAACAAGCACACATCTCACTACGATACCCAAAATGAATATAGGTGATTTGATACACTAAAACAATAAAAACTCAAATCAAACGTCGATCATCATATTGTTATAGAATGGTCAATCTACTGTATATATATATAAACAACACCAGCTTATATCATTAATCTAAATCAAGAGGTGCAAAACCATGAAAAGGGGGAGATAAATATAAAATAAATAAAAACATCAATGCTTTGAGATTAGTACACATTTTTTACAAAATTTATGCACATAATTTTATTTTCATATTTTCCATTCCTTTGAAACATTAAACAAAAACAAATAGATACAAAATCATAGATCTTTGATTTCTATACAACACATCTTGAAATTTCATAAACAAAAGAGGATCTAAATCAAAGAGAACAAAAAACGAACGATTCAAACCAGATCAATCTTGAAATCAATAATAATAACAATAATCAACATGTAAAAGAGATAGAGATAGAGACTTACATCGGAGGCATTGCTAATGAGTTCACGGAGAAAGATCTCTTTGTTGCTGTAGAACGTGTTGATGATAAGACTCAACAGCTGGTTGATCTCAGCCTGGAAAGCAAACGTCTCGGTCTCCGCCATTTCCGATCTGTAAACACACTCTCTCTCTGTAGAAATTGAAAGGCGATGAAGAAGAGTGAGGAGTTCTAGGGTTTGCAAGAAAGCTAGAGGCGGGTGGAGAAGAGTGAGAAGCGCTCTTTATATAGGGAGTTTACTAGGGTTTCGTTTCTAGATCCTTCTATTAGAAAATTATGCCTATTATATTTATAATTCGTTTTCTAAAGGGCCTGTCAAAGAACAAAAATAAAATAAAATATATAAAAAGTATTTAAAAGGCTTCAATAATCTTAGTATAATTAAATGATTTTATTTTTATTTTTAAATATTTAAATTGGTGATAAATTTTATTAATTTTCATAGTTAAAATTATAATTTTTTTTTATAAATTTATAAATATTTTGTAATGATCTAATTGAATTATGATTTCAACTAATTAAATCAAGTTTGTTTAAAATTTAAATTTGTTTTACATATACACAATGATTTTAAACAATGATTTTTTCTTTAAACGCCATCTTATATAAATTATATGAATTGGTGTTTGGTTTGGGATTGACTGTTTTATTTTATTTTATTTTATTTTTGTTTCAATTATTTTTTTAAAAAAATTAATACTTATAGATTTTATTCGACTATGTTAAACAGTCTAGAAAAGTATAAAAAAAATATTTGAAAAAAAATTACTAGAAAAAATTAAAAAAAATTAATTTTTTTGAGTCTTTAGTTAACTTTTTTTATTTTTTAAAATCCATCAACAAACCAGAAAAATAAATAATTCGAACACAAATTCTATAAAAATATATATATATATGTATATTTTATATAGGCGTGAACTCAACGTGAATTTTATTTACACATTGACCTTATTTTTGTATTCCATATTATTATATGTGGTGATGTAAAAGGACCTCCTTATAAGAAAATTGTTCCTGGTATGAATTTTTCTTTTTCTTTTTCTTTATCTTTAATTTAAGATTTGTTATTTAAAAAAAATAAAAAATAAAAATCCTATATTATGTCATATGAGAAAATTCCTTGCACTTTGGAACACTCCCGCCAACAAGGTGCTCTTTATTTTCAATGCATTTGCATTGCTCCTTCCATTCATTTGTCCTCTCCTTTATTACTTTTTTGGAAGTGACTTGATCATTGGGTCATTCTTTCCTCTCTCTCCAAGGTCCAAAAGAATCGGAAATGTGCACTTGTCATGAACAGAGGCGTACCAAAGCTCTATTTTGATATTATATGGTTACATTCTTTGATTGAATTTTGAGATTTGCTTTTTAAAAAATAATAATAATAATTTGATAAGACTAACTATGAGTCTCATTTTGATGATCATATTTATTTAGAATACATTTTTATTTAAATTTATAATCTAAACATAATCTAATTTTATAAGTCTTCCTCTATGTATGTCACTTCGTAAAAAATTTATATTGATATGACAATTGTAGATATACACTATAAGTGAGTGGACTATAAAAAAAATTATCAGAAGCTAGGTGTTGATAGTCGCTTTGGGCGAAGGAATGGGCCACAATTGGGCCAAGGGCCACCCTGGTATTTGTGTCAGATCACAACCAGAAATATTAGCAATCAAAAGCCCATCAGAGGATTGGGCCGTAGGAGGAGATATGGGCTAAGGGAGAGATCAATGGACCGAAAGAGGGCATTTATGAAACCAAAAACCAACTATCAATCCAAAATAATCAACTATGGGCCGAGAGTCGAAAAAGGTGAATACCCAACCCACAACAATCCGTTTCAGGACTGTACAGGCCCATCAAAATATTATTTGAAGCCCAAGCCCAACAAATTTGGGTTAAAACAAGCAAAGTCCAAGCTCCATAGGTTAGGCCCAGTAAATAAGTCATTGAGGCCCAAGAAGCTTGAGGCCGACCAGCAAAAGACTAATCCTTCAAAGAGATGCAAATCCATGAGGCATGGGCCTGAGTCAATGATTCCCAGCCCACGAAACCTAAGCCCTTGGGCTTAACTAGCCAAGCCCAATCAGCCGCTACAAACTTTTCTCCCCTATCCAAGCTCCATAGGTTAGGCCCAGTAAATAATAGGGGTGAGCATGGTCCGGATTGGACCGGATTAGGATAAAACCAGGACCAATCCGTTATCTACGGTTCCTAAAAAATTAGAACCAATCCAATCCGTTTAAATCATGGAACCAATCCGAACCAATCCATTTAAATACGGATTGGATCGGTTTAGGATCACGGATTCACATAATTAAATAACAAAAATATATATATAACACTTTAATTTTATAAAAATTTAAACATAGCGCTATATTAGTTCCACAATAACAACATATTTTTCTATAATAGCGACATACTGTTCTAAAATTTAAATAACCATAAGAAAACTGGTTTCACTATAAGTATTTAAACCATTACAAATTAAAACAAAAAAACAACAAACAAAAGTAATAAAAGAAGATATTATACGGTTTTAGGTTTGAGTTTAGATTTTATATATAATTAAGAGAAGATACTATGGGGGAGGATGTATAATAAAAATATAGACTATTTATATACGGTCCGGATCGGTTCCAATCCGGAACCGTGGGGTTCAATCCGGAACCAATCCGTAGACTACGGATTTTTAATTATTCAATCCGGAACCGAACCGCAGATTCAAAAAACCAATCCAAACCTATCGGATTGGACTGGACTAGATCGGATTACGGATTTCACGGATTACTTGCTTAGCCCTGGTAAATAAGTCATTGAGGCCGACCAGCAAAAGACTAATCCTTCAAAGAGATGCAAATCCATGAGGCATGGGCCTGAGTCAATGATTCCCAGCCCACGAAACCTAAGCCCTTGGGCTTAAGAAGCCAAGCCCAATCAGCCTGCTACAAACTTTTCTCCCCTACAAATGGGCCCCCAAAAGGCACTTAGCCCAAAAGCAAAATAATATGGCTGTGTTTGGACCATGAATTTCAAATCCTTATCTAAATTCATAAAGCATACTGACACAAAATCTACTATAGAAAAAAAATATAAAATAATCTTAGCCATACATACCATATAGCAAAGCCTTTATAAAAGAAACAATTTCATTCAAATTATTCCACCTATATTTATATGGTTAATTCTGTAGGCGATTATGTGTTTCACCATTAAATTTACATTACAAATGTCATGAATAAATGTAAAAATTTGCCTATTTACAAAATAATGTAAAAGAAGAAAAGAAAAAAAAACATCCAAATTTAAAATATGCATAAATAAATATGAATCCATATTGATGGATAAAATTTTGTCCATTCATACATTATTCTTATATCTAAAAGCCTTCCATATACATTATGTATTCGAATAATTTGTATATATGATTCTATAATCAATTTATATATTCTTCGATTTATTCTTTACCAAATGACAAATATTATTTCCCATTGATAAATGATACCAATCAACTCAAACATTTCATTGGGCACTTGAGTTGACCCCATATCCAAACACATCAAGGACACGTGCAAGATTTAAGGATTAAGTACAAAGATAATCTGTTTAAATTATAATAATTCCTTCTTTTTGGTTGATTGGATCTTCTTTTATAGTGTGAAAATGTTTTCATTAAACAAAAAGGCAAGAGCTTTAGCAAACAGATTTTTTTGACTCCAACATTGAATAGAAATGTCACTATAGTTGTGTTTTAGGTAAAGCTCCCAATCACTCTTTTTAAACAATAATACAAAAAAAGAAGTGTTTTTGGGATGCCAAAAAAACACTGAAATTAGGGAGAGGGAAAGATTAAGACAGAAACATTTTGATTAGGGGGACAATGATTTGACCTTAAATATGGTTTTTAGGCCCCGACAAAGCTGTATTTTTATAAGAAAATTTAGCAAAGCAATTGGCCAATCTCTTCGAGTAATTATTGGGTACTCAAGAGAATATTCTTACTTGGAATCTTTCTCAATTTTGTTTCGTTTATATTGTTATTATTATTTTACTTAAAAATATGAATGGGTGACATTTGATCATTAATTTAAGATATTACTTGAAATATCGCCTTATATCCCATTTGTATGCAACAATTTTTTCTTTTATCTCTTCATGTAAAGGAAGACAAAGCAAACAACAGAAGTACAAAGTGAAGTTTTTTGTGTTTGACAATCAAATAGCATTATATGAGGAATATTAATTAACAAGCCAAAAACACAAAAAAACAATGCCAAAACACTGTTCAAATTGTGATCCATTCTAGGAAGGTCATACTCAACTGGATTTGAATAACAATAATAATAGTCAACTAACTATTTTCATATTTTTGTTTTTAATTTTTTTGGGATAAAGAGTAAGAGACCTTTTATCTTCCTCAGTTTATTTTTTCTACATCCTACAAACAGTCCAATAATTCATGTATCTCTCTCTCTCTCTCTCTCTCTGTGTTGCATTTCTCATGAAAGAAAGAAACCATTTTTTCTGACAACAAAAACAGCAAGAATTTTACACCAACATGGAGGGGGGCTAACATGGCATGTTCTTGAAAGTAACCATGGCATGTTCTTATCAATCTTTTAATTATCTTATTAAAGTATAATAAGCATCGCTTGTATATTCTTCATAATAAGCCACTATCAAACCATATCAATTTGGTCATTGTAGTTAAGATGCATGGTCTCAAAACACTAATAGCCATTAGATCTCATATTAAATTTCCAATGATCTAATAATTACAAGTATTTTGAGACAGACAAAAAGATTTAAAAGACATGATATGATTCTATAGAAAGGCCAATGATTCTCTATCCCTAAATTCCTTTGTCCTTGTCTTCAAATACTCATTACCATTAGATAACAATTTGAGATTACTATAGTTCGAGTTTTCAATGATGTAATCGTTGTAAATGTTTAAAACAAAAAAAAACATGAAGAATTGGAGATGGAAAATCTCATGCCATTGAACACCAAGAATCCTCGATTCCATTGTCTCAAAATAGTCATAACCATTAAATAATGTCTTAGACTTACAAAATGAAATTTTTAATAATTAAATAAACATGAGATGTAGTTGTCAATATATTTATTCAATGGTTAATAATAGTAATTATAGCAACACACTAAAAGTTTGCTCTTGCAAATGTAACCTTT